TTAGGTAGGGGATTGATTATTGAGATAGAAGACAGTGTGTAGTGTAGACAAAATTTGAGTCATACAAATACCACAAACATAGTTTTCTAGTAAGTGTCGTTGCATTATACTATGATACAACTGTGGCATTTGATTATTGCTCTAATATAAAAGCCTAATAAACGTTTTTCTAGTTAAGAAGGCAGAACAACCATCATGTAAAGATTGTAAGGTTATTAAACGAGAGAGTTTGATCACGCAACATAGGCCCATGGTTATCGATGTTTGCATAAAGAGATAAAAGAAAAGGAGTGAAATTAACAGGTGTCCAAGACCTAGGTGCCAGAATTTTAAGAAGGAGAAAATATAGTTGTTTAGAAATAAATTGATAAAAGAAGGAAATAGCATTCTAAGTTTGAAGTTAATGTTATGTGAAATGAGATGACTGACTGTATTAAGGAAGTGGCAAAAGAAGTTTTAGGATAATGAATCTAACAGGAAAATATATTTAGATAAGGAAACTTGGTGGTGGAGTTATGAGATTCAAAAGGCTATTAGCGAAGAACAATCATATTACAACGCTTGGAAATGGAATGGAAATGAACAAAACTTAGAAGAATATAAAAATGCCTTGAAGCAAGCTAAGAAAATAATAAGGATGATCTATATAATAAATTGGGAACAAGAGAACGTGAAAAAGATGGCTTCAAACTAGCAAAAATGAGAAAGATGAATCGTAGGGATCTAGATCATTTTAAATGCATTAAGAGTGAGGATCAGAGGGTCTTGTTAATGGATGACGAAGTCAATGAAAGGCGGAGCAGTTATATAAAAAATTGTTTAATAACGACCACTAAGGGAGTACAACATTAGGAAGAACCTTTGACATAAATGAGGTCAAATGTCATAGATACATTCATAGGATTAGGATATTTTAGAAAAGATAAAACTAGGAAAGGCTTTAGGACTAGATGGTATCCCAATAGCGGTTTGGAAGTGCGTGTGATTGGCATATTCTGGTTGACTAAGCTTTTCAATAAGATTTTGAGAACAAATAACATGGGAAACGACTGGAGAAAATGTATTGTGTTACCTATTTACAAGAACAAATGAGACATGTAGAGTTATACAAACTATCGAGGGATCCAATTTACGAGCCACACTGTGAAGTTGGAGAAGAGATTGATTGAGCAACGACTACAACATGAAACGAATGTACCAAAAAATCAGTTCGGTTTTATGCGAGGTAGGTCAACCATTGAGGCAATTAACTTCTCAAATTTTCTTCTTTAGTAAGGGTGTTGCAAAAACAAGAGGCATCAATATTATTATCATCTGAGTCAGAACTGCTAAGGATTAAATCTTCGTTTTTCTATCTCTCCAGTTAGCATCTCTAATTCAGAATCAGAAGAATTATTAGAAGATTCCTCATTAATTTGTAGTATATTAAACAATTGATCTTTAATATTATCATCTAATTGTAAAGCATCTGTTTTCTTTTTTATTCTGCACTTATTTTTATAATGTCCTACCTTACCACAATTATAGCAAACAGGGATTCTTCTTTTTCCCCTGGCCCTTTTAAAATTACTTTTGGGGGAAAATTTCTTAGAAAATATTTCTTTAACAGTATTTCTATTGGATCTTGGCTTGCTGCTATATTTTCTATTTTTATATCTTTTTCTATCAGAATCTTTGGAAGAAGGCAGAGTATTAAATCCAAACTGTTCACAAAAATCTCCTAACTCTTTTCTTCCAGTCATTCTCTGTTTTTCTAGTTGTCTCTTCAGCTTTAGATCTGTACAGAGGGCAAGGCCTTTTGCACAAATTTCGGCTGATAACTCGCCCAATGTATATAAAGAATATGGGATTATTCCTCCATGTTTCTTTAATCATGTTTTCACCTTCTCGGCAAAAAGATGGGGTAAACCAGAAATGAATTTTTCTTTCCAGTGATCAGATTTACTATCTTCTCTAGAAAGGAGTCTGGGGAAGAACACATCTTTATACCATTTATAATGGGATAGTGTTGGGCATCTGAGATTAGAAAGTAGATCTTTTGATCTAGCAACGAGTAGTACAGTACTTCCCACAAAGTGGAGAGTAATAGTATATATTAAAGTATTGACTGCATCACTCTCATTATTTATTACATCTTGCCCAAACTCATTTTTAACTGCCCACTCTTTGGTGGCAGTTAATATTTCATTTTTTGTATTTTCATCCATATGGAAATCCCACCATCCTCTTAGCCATCCCGTAAACCCATAAACAATGGCTTTAGCTATTTCTTGGTCTTGATTTCTACTTATTTTGCACGCAGTTGCGTACATGGTCATATGCTTCATTAAATCAAGAATCTGATTTTCAGACATT